AGTTATCAACTAAGGATCAATAAGCAACCGTAAATTCATCAAGAATTTGATCATAAGAAAACTCACCTTTAGCTTGGCTTCACGGTATAGAATGAGAATGAAGAAGAAAGAAATATCCAGAACCTTGTTTCTCTCATTAGCTTTCCACGTGGTTTATTAAATATCCTTAAGAAACATTTAATTATTTCCTTGCCAAAAGACTCATTTTCCCCTTTAGTTCCCCATGCTTTACTAATTGATCCTACACCAAATATTTCAATCAATTACTTCAACTTTCAATTTATCAACTTTGATGACTAAATTTTAAAATTTCACAATTTAATCACTAACCCGGTATGGAGGATGTTACAGGGAGGCTCATGCGTGATGGGTTGTATCAGTTGTTGCCACACATTGTGAAGGACTCGAGCTGGCAGTTGAACAATGTCTCAAGAGCGTCGAGTTCAATAGACTTGTGGCACAAATGCCTTGGTCACTCTTCGATGGCTGCTATTCGAGCTGTAATGAAGACTTGTAATGTCAGTTCTAGTGAAAATAAGTTGTCTCATGTATGTACATCATGTTTACAAAGCAAGGCTCATAAATTGCCGTTTTGTAATTCATTAACTGAATACAAGGAACCTTTTCAGTTGATTATTTCAGATGTTCGGGGGTCCAACACATATTGTTTCTACTGATGGTTATTCGTATTATGTATCTTTTATAGACGTTCACAGTAGGCATACTTGGGTTTATCTACTAAAAAGGAAATCTGAGGTTATGCAATGTTTCTTAAATTTCTACAAGATGGTAGAAGTTCAGATTGGTTTCAAAATCAAAATTGTTCAGACTGATAGAGGAGGAGAGTATCAAGCTCTCAAAGGTTGGTTCCTTGCTAATGGTGTTCAATAACAGATTTCCTATCCCAGTACGTCTGAACAAAATGGGAAAACCGAGAGAAAACACAGGCATGTCGTTGAAATGGGATTAGCACTGCTAGCTGAGGCTAAACTACCCTTAAATTTATGGAGTCATGCATTTATTTCAGCCTTTTATTTGATAAATCGCTTACCAACTGAAGTATTAGGTGGCAAGTCTCCCTTTGAGATTCTCTATAAACAGACTCCTGATTACTCCATGCTCAGGATTTTTGGGTGTGTATGTTTTCCTCTTTTAAGGTCGTTCAACCAATATAAGTTGTATTTCAGGTCAAAACGGTGCACTTTTCTTGGATATAGTCTGTTATATAAAGGGTACAAATGTTTAGATGACAGTGGGAGAGTCTTTATTTCAAGATATGTTGTATTTGATGGAGTTTTTCCTTATGCTGGTAAGAATGGAGATCGGTCAAGTTGTGGCACTGTCACTTTGATAAATTTTCTGCCTGTAATACAATCTTCTGAAGAGTTACACAATGGTCAACCTAGACGGTGTGTAGAGGTTGTGCCAAATACAGTGGGTAGTTGTAATCGTAGCCCTGACTTGTGTCTTCCTGGCACGTCACATGCAACAGACACTGTGGAGAATGTGTGTACAGGTAATGGTTTAGAAGTGCCTGCTATGGCTTGTGGTGAAGGATTGACTAGTGCTAATGGTGCACATAAGTTACATGTTCCAGTTTCTTTGAGTGATGATGCTGTTATAAATGAGTCAATTCCTAGTGCTCATGATGATGTTGAACGGTCCAATGTTCATCCCATGGTGACTCGAAGTAAAAATAGGATTTGGAAACCGAGAGTATTTCAGATGGCTTGCTCAGATAAAGAACCGAGGACCATTCGAGAAGCCATGGAGAGTCCTGAGTGGAGAGCCGCTGCTCAAACGGAGTTTGATGCACTCGTGAAGAACAACACCTGGACGCTTGTTCCTCTCCCAAGTGGAAGGAGAGCAGTGAACTGTAAGTGGATTTTCAAAATCAAACGAAATGCGGATGGATCCATAGTAAGGTACAAGGCTCCCCGAGCGTGGTTTGAAAGGCTAAAGGAGTTTTAGTGGCTTAGGGTTTTGTGTTAGCAAAGTCTTATGCTTCAATGTTTGTTAGGGAAACTACTAACAGCATCATGTATCTACTGGTGTATGTAGATGATATAATCATTACATGCAGTTATGAAAAAGAAGTGCAAGGTATTATCAATGTTCTTAACAAATAGTTTGCACTAAAGGACCTTGGGGTCTTAAGTTTTTTTTGGGAATCGAAGTGTGTCGAGAAGCTGATGTGATTATCTTGAGTCATCAAAAATATATACGTGATTTTTTGCTTAAAAGTGGACTTGAAGATGCTAAAGGCCTTCCTACACCCATGGTTACTAATTGTAAACTATCGGTTGACACTGGAACACCAATTGAGGATGCAGCTCATTATAGGAGTATTGTTGGTGCTCTGCAGTACATCGTTATCACGCGACCAGACATTGCCTTTGCTATGAATAAGGTCTGTCAATTCATGCAAGCACCGTGTGATGTTCACCTTCAAGCAGTAAAACGGATACTGAGGTATCTGCAGGCTACTGCTGATTTTGGTCTTCGTTTTTCAGCTTCATCGCGGTTGTCTTTAGTAGGCTTTGCTAATACGAATTGGGGGTCAGATGAAGATAGATGCTTGACCTCGGGATACTATATCTACTTTGGTGGTAATATGGTTTCTTGGAGTTCTCGTAAACAACAGGTAGTTGCTCGTTCTACGGCGGAAGCTGAGTACCGGAGTGTTGCTTGTGCTGCTGCGGAAATGGTATGGCTTGAATCATTGTTGGGCGAGCTGCGAGTACCCATTCATGGGAAATCTGTCTTGTGGTGTGACAACTCCAGTGTTGTAGTTGTTTGTGCAAATCCAATCCTGCATTCCAAGTTCAAACATGTTGAACTTGATCTGTTCTTTGTTAGGGAAATAATTGATGCTGGCAAGCTATCAGTTCAGGAGGTACATGCTTTTGAGCAGGTTGCTGATGTCTTAACTAAACCGTTGTCTGCTCCAGCGTTTCTTAAACACAGGCAACGGTTACTTGTCTCACAGATCTGAGGCAAATTTGTTGTTTCAACAATTGAGGAATGTGGTGAATAATTTTTTTTGAGTGAATTCCTTTTTTCAGCAAGAAGTTATGCCCGATGATATTAAGTAATGGGAGAGTTGTTGTAGGGGGAATGTTGTTTCATGGTCTTGCGTGTCTTGCATATGTTAAAAGGCTCGAGGAAGCTAGCAGTAAAGTAGGGGGGATGTTGGTGTATGAGCTGGAGTTGGGACGGTTTTAACTGTTGGTTCCTGTGTAGTTAGGCAGTTAAGTGTTAGTTGGGGTGGTTATGAGCTGTTAAGCTTCTTGGATTGCTTTAATCAATTGTATAAATATATCTTTCCATAATTGAGAGAGAGTTACGATGATATGAATGAAATTTAGCATTTCAACTGTTTTTCGCTTTTCTTTCTCTGTTTACATTACACTGCTCATCGTTCCTTAGAATGATACTATAACACCTGAGACTATGGTGGCCGCCGGTGGCGGTGTTATTCGGGATAGTGCTGGCAGTTGGAAGTTGGGCTATGTTCGCAATATTGACCGGTGCTCTGCTCTGCATGCCGAGCTTTGGGCGATCAGAGATGGCCTCGACCTAGCATGAGAGAGTGGAGCTAGGAAGATCGTAGTAGAGACCGACAATAATGAAGCGGTTCTTATCCTTAACTCTACTCCTCAACCCAACGACGTTACCATCGTCCGCAGAATTCGGGAGCTGCTAAAGCTGCAATGGGAAGTCATTATTTCATATATCAACCGTGAAGGAAATGTCGTTGCAGACTCTATTGCTAAAATGGGTCAGTCAGTGAACTTGGGTCTCGTTGTGCTGGAGAAACCTCCGATGGGGATCCAAAGTCTCCTCGACAAAGACATGAAGCTTAGCTTACCTAGTTAATTACTGTTTTACAATCTTTTATTTTAAAAAAAAAAATTAATGCTGAAAATGGTATATGTGTTGAGTGACAATATTTTTTTTGATTAGTCTATGATAAGTACGAAAATTTCTCATCTTATACATTATGGCTTTTGTTATCATGAATGAAGAAAGTAAGCTTTCACTCGAGATATAATCATATATCTATCAAAGCATATAACTTTATCATCGTTACTCGGAGATTCTAAATATTCGTAAATCTCGGAATCAAACTCATTTTCATCCCGTAGAAACCGACGCAAAAAACATAAAGTATCCGACAACTATTTAAATGAACCAAAATTTGTATCAGCTCATTCTTACCATTTACCGAACTGTTAGTATTATTAGATTCAAGTGAGGATGACAATAATGTATCCCTTGGCGATGTGGGATACAAAGCACGTCACGATTTAATCTACAATGCATGTAGGACGAATGCACGATAATCAACTTCTAAAATAATAATAATAATAATAATAAAACAGATTATCATAGAAAATAAAAAAAAATGAAAATATATGATAATTTGAATATCTTAAAAATTCAATCAATCCCTAAATACAAACTTATGTTTCTGAGATGATTCGAACGGAAAAATAATTGTTATTATGCGTTTGTTTGTTAAAAATAACAAATTAGTTTCGTGTTTAGTTATTGAATGAGTTTGATTTTTTAACAAAAAGACAAATTTATTGAAGGATGGTTAAATATTTTGGAGAGAAATTTGTGACGTATCATCGGTTAGATAATTAATATTATCCAAATTTTATTGTAATTATGCCCAAATCACCTTTTTGAGATGTTTTCATTTGATGCATTATGAATGACTCTCGACATGATATTAAAGATATAAAATTTATGCGATTATTTGCAGAAAAATGACATATTTGTAATAAAATTTTAATTTTAGCGATAAAGTGATCTATTTATAATAATATTTTAATTAGGCGACTTATCTGTAACTTTTAGAAGAAAAGTGACATGTTGATTACTAAATTCATAATTAAGTGACTTTAGCTATAGTTTACCCTAAAAAACAAATAAAAGGCGGCTGCAATGTACGCCTAAACCAGAGAGAGTCGCTCTCTCTCTCTCTCTCTCTCTCTCTCATTTTCCATTCTATGTGCCAATCCGTTCCAGCTAAAGAGATCGCGTCGAAATGAATAAACAAATAAATAAAATTTCTCTTAAAAACATTATAATTTCTGGAGATGCTTGTGTTTAAATGCCTTATTCCTTTTGGAAATTGAACCGTTCTAAAATTTTGATTAGGTGTTTGGATTCGTGATCGAGTTTGTTCTTTTTTTCCTTCCAATTGACGAGGGTGAAAGAGCTCGTTTCCTCACGGTGGGTTTTAGGGAGTTGTCCAAAATGGTCTGGAAAGGATTCGTGGGATTCGAATGATAGAAAATTATGTTTGACAATTTGATAATTCGGGTGAGATTTACTCTTTTATTTTTGCTTTATCATCTTGTTGTTGAATGATTTCCTTAGGGTGTAACGATGCGAGGAAGGGGTTAGGGTTAGGTTATGGTGAAAGAGAAATGGAAGAGTCTGAGCTTGAAGAAGGAGAGGCATGCACTTACAAAGATGAATATGATGGCACAACCGGCCCCGAGAATGATCTATCTTCTCTCTCTTACATTGTAAGGAAATTTGGGGTCTTTTTATTTCCTTTTAGCTGCAAAAAGCTGTATCTTGTTTTTTCTTAATTAATGTTTAATTATGTTGTTTCGACTTATTTTTATTTTGTTGTTGGGTTTTAGATCCAAATTAAGGATTTCGACGCTGATTAATTGCAATTTGGGTAATATAACTTAAGTTTAAACCTTTTTACTGTCTAACTTTGTTACTTTCTGTACAAGATATGTTTGGCATTTTAGTTTTTTATTCCAATATTGCAAGTTTGTTTGGTTTATGATGCATGGATATAGAGAATTTAGTTTTTAAGAGGTTTTAATTAAGTGAATTGAATTGTTTTCTGCAACATGTGGGTTTTGTTTAGTGTATGTATGTAGTGCTTTGTTTATAGTTTTAGGGATTTCAAGGCATCGGATGCAAGTTACACATGTTTAGAGACAACATTGCTCCTAACTTTGTTTCCGTGTAATGTTGGTGATGTTTAATTATGGTAATCCTGAATTTAATGTTTGTAATTGGAAGTTAGCAGAGTAAGATTTAAGTGGTATTCTTTGCAACTTTTGTTTTAATGTAAGGTTGATGCTGTTTTATTGTGGTAATTTTTTAATATAACCTTGGGATTTCATAGTTGGACCTTCGGAGAGTAAGATTCATGCACATTAGCTAACTTTGAATTGTTGGATGTGAGTTGGGCACATGTTACCATAGAAGGCATTGCTTGTAACTTTGGTTCCATGTAAGGTTGGTGGTGTTTGACTACGGTAATCTTGAATGTAACATTCGCAATTGGAAGTTAGCACCGCATATTTTGTAACGCTTGTTTCTGATACATTGCCACCTGTGTACATATACTTTAGGAAGCCACGTGGAGTGAATAAACTTACAGCTATGACCCACTTGGCTATTGACTAGTCCCAAGACCCATATAAGAATCTGTTGGAGTAGGGAGGTTTAACACTGTAAATCACTGACCCCTCAAAGCTATTTGGTTATAAATATGCTAATGGGTCCTAGCCTTGTTTTTCATCTCTGATTGTTTATCATCTTTGTATTAGGCTTCTGGTCCTTTCATTACAGATTGCCTTTATCGTTGAATTTATCCAATAAAGATTTCTTTTTGGTTCCTTAGATTGCTGTTCCTACGTATCATTATCCCTGCTTCTATCAGTTTCCATGCAAGGTTGGTGGTGTTTTATTATGGTATGTACTGGGATTTTCATTATTGAAAGTTAGGAGAGTAGCTAAGATTCAAGCTCATTGGTTAGCTTATAGAGTCTTGCCATAGTATAAATGTTTTTAGAGGATTAGCTCCAGGTGCTAACATTGTGATGTAGGATTACATGTTCATAAACCTTTTGCATTGTGGTATCATTTTTCTGATGCTTTTTCTTAGTCTCTCTCCTTGTATTTCATGATAGTTTTAGTGATATGGCTCTTGTAATGTTTTTTAAGGATGAGAAAATTCAACATGTTCTTGGACATTTTCAAAAAGATTTTGAAGGTGGAGTATCCGCAGAAAACCTGGGTAAGTCCGAAGAAAAAGAGAACCATGGTTCTCGTAAGGTCAAGAGTCAACATAAGTTGGAATTAATAATTTGAAATTGATGAATTTGGGATTCTGGACATTCTTTCAGGGGCAAAATTTGGTGGATATGGATCATTCTTACCTACCTGTCCACGATCTCCTGTCTGGTCCAATAAGAAGAGTCTGCCAAAAGTTAAGAGCTGCAATGCAATTAGATCTCCTAACGAGATACAAGTGGAGGTAACAGTTTCTGTCTCTTTTCCTTCCCTGGAAGTATAGTTCATTTTGTATAAGGGAGGAACCTTTTGCAGGATTTTGGTTGATTTGAGAAGTCCAAGTTAAAGTGAGTACTTTCTTTGTTTTGTTATATAGGATGGTCGTCATCCTACAAAATTTGGAACTCTCCCTGCTTTGAAAGCATCATCTGCGAATGATTTGATTAAGCAAGAGGTTAGCATAACATCTACTCATGCTCATGATCTTGGCTCTAGGTGCAAATATGCTGACAAGAAAGCTGCCAATCTGCCAAAGAAGAAAACATTGAAGCTACGAATCAAAGTGGGTTCAGATAATTTGTTGACACAAAAAAATGCTGCAATTTACAGTGGTCTTGGCCTTGATGTCTCACCATCTTCTTCCTTAGATGAGTGCCCTTCTGAAAGTGAAGGGATGTATCAGGAGACACAAGAGCCGTTATTTGAATCTCCAACCCATATTATTCAGGTAAATACTTCATTTAATATCTATTATTCTTATTTAAAGAGTGTTTTTCTTTTTTTCTAATCTTCTATTTTCTTACATCTGATGAACCTAAATTGATCAAAAAAATTTCTTTTTCTGGATATTTTTGAGCAGTTGATAACATCCTTCCCAGTGCCTGGGGAAACACTACTATCACCTCTCCCTGATCATCTACTTAGCTTGATTGTAAAGGAGAAAGCTTCAAAAGAGAATAGATCAAAAGGAAAGGGTAATCAAATATTATCGGGAGACGAAAAAGCAGATTCAGTGGAGAAAAAGGCATTCACGGTAGAAAGGAAGGGTGACAACAAAAGAGAAATAAGGAATGACAATGGTATAATGTCAAAGAACGAACTAGATACTGACACATTGGCTTGTAAGGAGTTTGTTTCAAAACCATTGCCGCTTTTGCTTAATTCACACTCGGCTGTTGACAAGGTAAAAGATAAGAGCATAGCAGGAAATAAAGGTGTCCATTATGTAGCTATGGAGGAGTCAGTGGAGCCAATACTTGCACAAAATATTCGCGGGGATAATCTAAGGGCAAATTCAGCACAAAAGGTTCTGAATGATAATTCAGGCTGTGCGAGAAAAAATGAATATATTAAAGCAGAAAACACTTGTGATTTTCTCAAAGCTGAGTCTAATTCTCTAAAAAGTAGCAAAGCTCTAGAGAGTGAACCAGCAGATCCTCTTAGGAAGAAGAGCAGTCAGAGAGCTACCTTGCATGATCAAGACAATATGAAGTTGCCTCCTGCCAAGGACCATACCTCTTCTGGTGGAAAAAATAAATCAAAAGGCAATCATGGTCAAGGCAGTCTAGCCGCTGAGGTACCAAAAGAAAGCTCGAGGCTTGCTTTTTTGATGCCGAAAGTTAAGAAGACTGCTCATGTGAACAATAATACAAACAAAAGGGATTCAGGAGAACAAAAATTAGATATAGTTTTACAAAAGGCTGAAGATTGGTATAGAGAATTTTTTGGAGATGTTGGAGGAGGGGAACAGGAAGAGTACCAAACAAGGACATTAGAAATTCATTCTAAAGGTCGGATGAAGGAAGATGATAAGATTGGAAAAAATACATTAGCCATTAACATTGCACTTAATGACAGAAGAATTGGTAAGAAAAGTGAGGATTTACTGGTAAGCAAATCATACCCTGGAGCAACTGTGAATGGTGCTTCTAACTCTGGTAATGTGAATGCTGCAGGAGCTTGCCTTGGAGCTGCTCCTCCTGTATTGATAAAAGAAAACTGGGTTTCTTGTGATCAGTGCATGAAGTGGCGCCTTCTTCCAATAAGCATAAAGCCTACTGATTTACCCGAGAAGTGGTCATGTAGCATGCTTAACTGGCTGTAAGTTTTTTTATCATCCTTCTGAAATTTCGTAACTGTAATTTATTGGTTTAGAGTTCAGACTCCCAAGTTTTTCATACATATTTATTGTTAAATGGTGTTGGAGTCAACATGAAATGGTTTTGGTGGTTAACTTTGTGATGGATTGCGGAGAAATACCTCCTCTTTTCTGTCTCTAATATTGTTAATCTTGTAAATGTTTAGGCCTGCAATGAACCACTGCAGCGTTGATGAGGAGGAAACTACAAAAGCTGTTTTTGCATTGTATCAAGTTCCTTCTGTAGCAAGTCAAAATAATCTGCAAAATAATCCTGGCAGTACTATGTCCAGATTACAATCAGCTGATACCCTGAAACCTGAACAAAATCAACAATTTTTTGGTTCACATGCCATGCCTCCTGGAAGAAAGAAACATGGTTCAAAAGAAATATCAAATGCAATAGATAAAGATGGGCCAGTTCCAATGAAGAACATTCAGGCTTCAGTTCTATCTGGGAGTTCAACTGATATAACTAAATCTCCTGTGGTAAGTGAACTTGGTTTGCTTGATCCTAGAAAATGTGATTTGCCAGCCAAGAAACACAAAAGTAAGAAGAAAGAGAAGCATAAAGTGTCAGAACACATATCTGGTGGAGGTACTCTTGTTAAACATGTATTTATTGTACATTTAGTGTTTCTTTTTGAAATTATATAATATGTTGCTTTCATAAAACACATGCAATTAGGTGATTCCAAAACTTCAAAGATGAAACGAAAAAGGACCTCTGATCAAGAATCTTTAAGGGCGTCCAAGAAAATTAAGTCTGAAATTTTGCATCTTGCTGGTGAAGATTGTATGTCCGAGCATGCTGGTAAGGGGGTTCCTAGCACAATTAATGATCTACCTACCACATTAATAGGAAAGGATCAACCTAAACACTGTGAGCGTTCTTCTGACAATGATCAAAAGTTGGATAAGGAGGACAAACATCAGGACTCTGGTAAAAGGCCAAAGGAAAAGGTTCAGGTTTCCTTGGCTGATGGATCAATTGATATGATGAATTTTGATGGTGGGGATGTTTCAAGAAAGAGGAAAGTTGATGATGATGGCAGAGTGTTTGTGAAAGAAGAGTTCAGCAAAAATGACTACAGGCAGGAAAAGAAGGCCAAGGCATCTGTTTCTGGGGGGAAGGATTCCTCCTCTGCAAGTAAAAGCAGTAGTAAGATGGAGAAAGAAAATATAAATTCAAAGAATCACCATAACTTGGGTGGTAAAGATTCACTGAAAAGGGATTTTGCATCTTCCCAACCTTCTTTGGCAGCAATCACAAGCTCATCTAATCTTTCTTATTCACATAAATCAAATACTGGCTTCCATGAAAGAAAGGACTCACCTGAAAAATCAGGTTCCTCATCTTCAATGAGATCTGCTAATCCAGATAAGCTTCCATTGTCAAAGAGGACAGGGAAAGATGAGTCTCGTGATGCTGGTCTCTTTGTTGCAGGTAGTCCAAGTAGGTACTCAGATGGTGAAGATATGGGTCAGAGTGACAAGTCTGGTATAAGGAAGGGAAAAACTTCTCTCGCAGCTCAACATTGGTCCCTTGACTCTTCTATACTTGATGTTCAGGATAAGGATGATGATCAAGCAAGTGGCAGTAGAGCCAAGGCTTCAATTGAATCTTCTTCTAATATCAGAGAAGGTCAATTTATGAATGGTAATGTTGACTATTTAGGTCAAGAGGCTAAATCTGTCGGTGAATTAACAACAATGGATAAACACCATGGTGTAGAAAATCAGAATGAAAAACATGGTGATGGTAATGTCTCTCAGACTAGAAAGTTGGGCAAGGGTTCCGCACAGTCTAAGGATAGGAGACATAAACTTAAATCTGATTCTGTTGATGAACTGGAAGATAGTGTGCCTTCACGCAGCATAAAACCTAGGGATAAAAGAAAAAACTTCAAGGAGAGGCTTGGTGTTAAGTCTATTGAAAGTGAGAATAGATTTGTTGATGATAATAAAGCATCTGCGGGAAAACTGTCCGGTGAGAGTAGTAAAAGAGAAAGCCAATCAAATGTTGCTTGTTCAGATGCTAAACAAGATGCCATTGGAGGTCAAGATGTAATATCTTCTGTGAAGCAGAATATTGTGCAGGATGGCAATGCTAGCAAGTATATGAAGAGATCAAACTCTGACAAATCTGATCATGCTGAAATTGCTTCTGGGAGAGGGAACTCACTATCATTGCCACCCTCTGGAGGAACTCCAAAGGAGATGCTGACTCATTGCCTCCGGCCAACTGGGTCCCAAAAGGGAACTGGAGCTAATGGATATCAAGATGATGATGCATTGAAGAAGGTACAAATAAAAATAAAGAAGGCTGGTCATCAAAATGGGACTCAACATGGTAGTTCTAGACATAGTACATCAGGTGGACATAGGATCAGGGACATTGATGCCCCTAGTCCAATGAGAAAGGATTCCTGTAGTCAGGCAGCTACCAAAGCTTTAAAGGAGGCTAAAGATTTGAAGCATATGGCTGATCGTGTCAAGGTTTTTACCTTATTGTTTTCTTATTGCAATTTTATTTTGGATTGGCCTTTATCAAGCTTGATTTTATCCTTTTTCGATCTTTGAAAATTTCTATTAGAACTCTGGATCAAATGAGGAGAGTACTGCACTTTATTTCCAATCAGCATTGAAGTTTCTACATAGTGCTTCTCTACTAGAATCTTGCAATAGTGAGGGTACTAAACAGGGAGAGATGATTCAGTCTTTGCAAATATATAGTAGCACTACAAAACTCTGCGAGTAAGTTTCTAGCTAAAATGATTTCTTGCAAAATGGAATATTCTGACTGCATTTTGTTTTGTGATGGTTTATTTTGTGTCACTTTTTGTGTGTGTGTGTGTGTCTGTGTCTACTAATTGATATTTCAGGTTTTGTGCTCATGAATATGAGAGATTAAACGACATGGCTGCTGCTTCTTTGGCCTACAAGTGTGCAGAGGTGGCATATATGAGAGTCATCTATACCTCTCATGCCAATACAAGTAGAGATCGACGTGAGTTGCAGACAGCTTTACAAATGGTTCCTCCTGGTAATTCAAAGAACCTAGTGATTGTACTGGCTGTATTCATTGATGCTTGTCTGTCTAGCCCATAAACTTTTAATTGTTGTACTAGTGGTTCTTCTGCACTTAGTGATCAAGGAGGAGGAGCCTCTCATATTTGTTCTGGAATCTTGTTGCTTAATTTGTGAAGATACCTCTGCATGAGAAGGTTACATTTTAGAAGCATAACAGAAATTGATAGCTTTGCTTAAACGAGTAGTTTACTTCCTTACACACCATTAATACGTTTTTTGGTTTTCTTTTTCTTTCCACTGATAGAGATACATATCCATTCATCTGTAGGAAGTGGAGAACATGAATTTTGTGTTGTAGTTGCGATTTGACATTTAAGATGATTTTACAAATTTGCCTTTGGACTTAAGTTTAGGCTTACATGCACGTGAAAAGATATTTTCAAGCCTGCTCATCTTTCTCTCCCTAGTCCCTATTATCACCCCCTTCTCTTTCTTTCTTTCTTTAGTTTATGGACATCAAAATCTTTATAAATACTCTAAAGTTCTGCTGAATGAGACGAATTGACAGCTTATTTAACTTCTTTTCTTGATATTAATGGATGTTTCCATATCAGGCGAGTCTCCTTTTTCTTCTGCCTTTGATGTTGATAATTTAAACCACCCAATGACAGCAGACAAGGTTGTTTTTCCAAAAGGTGTTAGCTCTCCCCAGGTTGCTGGAAATCATGTTGTTTCTGCTAGAAACCGCCCTAACTTTGTGCGGTTCCTCAATTTTGTAAGTGTAGTTAGGTGATTTTGAATGTGCAATTCATGTGTTTTTAGTGTTATGAGCGCTAAAGCATTACTGAACATTCCCCCATCCCCAACACTCCAACCTTTTACCCCGTAACAGTGTTTTTTGGGTCTTATGCCCAAAAGCTTTTTTCACATTCTCACAAATCCTGTCTACACCCTATACCTACTGGTTTCTGTATGCTAAAATTGAGCATATGGTTTTGAAACTTTGTGCTTGTAAAGCAGGAGAGGTTCTTAGGTCTTGCTAATGAACCGTGTCTTTTGGCTCTCTTATTCGTAGGTTGTCATTTTATTCCCTATTGGCTTGTATATCCTGTATAAGTTTAGTGATCCATGTCCATTCTTGCTAATGAACCGTGTCTTTTGGCTCTCTTATTCATAGGTTGTCATTTTGCAGGCACAGGATGTAAATCATGCCATGGAAGCTTCAAGGAAATCACGAATTGCTTTTGCACATGCTAAATCAAGTTTGTCTGGGGATGATAATGGGGAAGTTATATATTCTTTGAAAAAGGCTCTTGATTTTAACTTCCTAGACATAGAGGGACTGCTACGTTTAATACGCGTTGCGATGGAAGCCATCAGCCATTAAGAAAAGTAGTAGTTGATAAGCACGATTTTATACTAGGAGGGATTTTCCTTTTGATTGGTTAATCCTTGGTTATGCAGTTCTTAAGAAGAAAAGGCAAATGGGATGACCAGTTTTCTATTCTGCAATGCATAACAATTATATTAAAGAACTGACCAGTGCCTCCTTTCTGACACTCATTGTACATGTGTGCGATACAAGATAAATCTGGGATTTTCTGTATTTTCTTTCGCGAGCTTCAACTGCATTCTGACTTGGAACAAGCTCTGTTAGTATCCTTCTCAAGATGGTATTGAGGACATGCTATTCTTAGGGTTTCTATTACGATTGTTCCAAGTTGTATAAATAGGTGATTACACCCCAAAAGAATTTTGGTTGAAGAAATAACTTTTATAGATAAATCCCTCCACAGATCAAAGCACATATTGGTAGAATTCTAACAGTAGAGTTCGCCAAATGATGTGGCATCACTGTTCCTCAGGTAGTTTTGGTTCACCTGACTAATTAGTTTGTTAGTACCATTTTACTTGGATATCTCTTTAGGAAAATATCAGAATATGCAGCAGCAACTGCTTGCCCATTTGCAACGGTAACTGCTGTTTTATCAGTTCAAGCACCAAGAAGCAGAGTACTATAGTTGGCAGTCTCAGGTTTGCTTCATTCTCTTGCCCTCAATGTTAGTTGAACTTGGTTGTGAGTGTCAGATATGGATATGTTTCCTGCACGGATATGTTTATCATTTTGAGTGTCCTTGGGAGTGTCATGTTCCTGTACTTATGTCTGAATATTCTTTACATGGTGTTGGACATGGTTTCCTCGGGAAGGATGAAGAGTTGGAGGAACATAACTTGCCCTTAACCGTTCTTGTTTTAGTAATCTTTCAGTTTTACATTTGTTTCTTGTACTGGTGCAGGCCAGCCTTCATAGTACCTGTCATGTATACACTTTATGCTTAAGCAAGATGCGTTGAAAGAATATAGGAAAAAGATATTTGGTGCAAAATTCCATCGGTAGAGATACAAACAGGGTTGCTGAAAATAAAATTTCTTTTTTTTTCCTTTTCCCCTCTAAAGGTTGGCACACTCTCCGTTGTTCATTTGATTGCTTCATTTTCCGCTCTGTGATACCTTTGGATCTAATGATTCTTATCTTCTGTGGCAGTTGACTTTTATTTCCCCTAAACATGTCTTTCTGCGTCTTTGTACAATTCGGAAATTTGAAATGTGGCAATTGCTGTTGATTGTGGGAGAGAGGTTTCTATCTTCAAGTTGGCCATCTTCTTGACGCTGATAGGTAAAAACTCTTTCACTGGCCAATGTTCTTTTATGGAATGACAGTTTTCTTCCAAGTGTCTTGTCAGTTGCAGCCAAACAATGTAGTTGGACTTGGGAGGGCATATAGTTTTAGTAATTCTTAGGGTTGATCCTTAATTGATTTAACCGACTGAACGAATTAAATTAATTTGGCTTGTTTTGTTTTTTGGTTTTGAAAATCAGTTATTTGGTTGTGTTAAAGCACACTGTATCATTTGATTTCAGGTTGAATAAGTTGTGCAGTTGCATGAACTGGGAAGCTGCTTATGGATTGATTGGTACGCAGCTCGTAAAGTTTCCGCATCCAGCACTCTTACCAATACAAAATGCAGACATGAGTGAAAATATGAGCTTCCATTCTACAAATAAACCAAATTTTGTCCGACTTTAGAGTCTTAGCCGGGACTTATACATGGACCACTATGTCGAAATTGGTTGTCCTCCCGTTATTTCACCTAAACATATTGCAGTGGTGGTTAAATCTCCAGGCGACATTTTGCAGTACAAAATTTATTGTTTTAAATGTCACTAACGGAATTTTTTCAATTGTTTTGACCAATAAAAAAAATATACTTATAATTTAGGGATTTATTTTGACCCGAAAATAGTTTTAAGTATTTAAAGTGATTATTATATAATTTAAGAATGAGAAAATCGCCTCAGTGACCAAAAAAAAGTTATAATATACGATTTTAACCAACTTTTTTTGGATTTGCCAAAATGACCAACAAAATCGCAACGCGAAATAAAAATCGCAACGCGATCCCCAGAATCGCAAATCAGTTTCCAGAATCGCAAATCAGTTTCCAAAATCGCAACGCGATTCTTGAAAATCGCGATGCGATAGTACAAATTCGCATTGCGATTTTCCAAAATCGCAACGCGAATATGAAAATCGCAACGCGAACACATAAATCGCAACGCGTATCCGTAAATCGCAACGTGTATCCGTAAATCGCAACGCGTATGGGTAAATCGCAATGCGTATCCGTATATCGCAACGCGTATCCGTAAATCGCAACGATAATACATAAAATCGCAACGCGTATCCGTAAATCGCAACGCGATATTTAAAGCGCCATTATAATCGCTACGCGTATTTTATTTTCAAATTACAAAAAGAATATTAAGACAAAATCCCGTAATCGCAACTCATAACCTAAAACCTAAAATCACAACTCAGTCCCATCTCCATCTCTCACTCTCTACGGCGAAGAAATCCGTCCCCATCTCCGAAGATTTCCGTCCCCATCTCCGGCGAAATCCCTCACAACCATTCACGGTCAGAAATCCCTCACAATATTCAGAAATGGAAAATCAACCTCCGAGGGTTAGTTTTTTTAATTATTTTTATTTTGAAATGTTTGCATTATTGTAGGTTTTTCATATTGAAACTGATGATAAGTTTACTGGTCATTTCAATAATAGATTAACCATTTCACTTAGATTTCATTTCGCGTTACGATTCTGTCGTTGCGATTTTCATTTCGCGTTGCTATTCTCTCGTTGCGATTTTCAAGTTAGTATTTGTCTTTGTCTTTGTTCTGTCTTTTGGTTGAAGTAATGCAATCCATTCAAGTTTCAATTTGCAGAAGAGTCGCAACGAGATAAATGAAAATCGCAACGAGAGAATGACTGTCGCAACGAGAGAATCGCAACGCGAAATGGAAATCGCAACGAGAGAATCGCAACGCGAAACCAAAATCGCATTGCGATTTTCATTTCGCGTTGCGATTCTCTCGTTGCGATTTTCATTTCGCGTTGCGATTCTCTCGTTGCGATTGTCATCTCGCGTTGCGATTCTCTCGTTGCGATTTTCATTTCAACCAAAAGACAAAACAGTGTTGCAAATTTTAGTTTAAAGAATAAACTACTACTTTTTATGTTTATTGTTTTTGGTATATCTTCACAGTGTAGTTTTTGGTATATCTAACTTGGTATGTTTATTGTTTTTGTAGAAATTTTTTTCGGCTCAATTGACCTTGAGAAATAAAGTCAGCCTGGCCACTACAATTGCAAAGAAGCTTTCACCTGCTCAAAGACAATTGTTTGAGGAAACCTGCTTCGGGCCATGGCTGAGAGTACAGCATCCGGGTGGAGATGCTAATTTGACCCATTTGTGGCTTCAGACCATGACATCAAATCTACCCGACAGTATACAACGTGGTGAGGAAGAGATATGGTTTCATTTTCCACCAGCGTATACTTGCTTTGGGCGGAAGGAGTTCTGCTTAATCACTGGTCTACGATTCGGACACGATGATGTAGGCCGGTACACTCGTCATATCGCCCGCCCATCATGGTTATCCCGGGTTTTTCCGGATGAGTCAATGGAGAAGCCGAACCTACATGTCGACGACCTGAAGAAATTATTTAATAAGAAAGCTGGTTTCACTCGGATGGAAGACGTCGATGTTGTCCGAGTATGCCTTCTACTACTTGTGTATGCCGGCTTTTTAGGCAGAGAGGCCAGACAACCTATTCATCGGGAGCTAATAATATTGGTAGAGGACCTGAATGCATGGAATCTGTTTCCGTGGGGTTCGTATATATGGAAAGCTACCTGGACTAAGTTGTCGTCTGCCTTTGATGACCGCAAAAGTTTGCGGGGCGATGGGTCCAAATACACTTTGTCAGGCTTTGTTTGGGCCTTTAAGGTAAGAATTTCTATATAATGTTTCTAAAATTATAATTAATTATTTAACAATTACTAATTTTGTTATTATATTGTTTGTAGATTTGGATATTCGAGGCTTTCCCCAGCATGCGTACATATGCAATAAAAACGTCAAATGATATTCCCAGGGCTATTTCCTGGAAGAGGAAAACTCTGTTGGATTGGGAAGACTTAATACCATATGCCACAATAAATAATGTAAGTTAACACAAATACTTTCATATAATATATAAACAAGTTATTAATAGTAGACGTTTAACTTTGTTTGAGTTTTTATATTTTAGGAGGCCAACATTCCATTACAAAGACTGTCACCCACGGAGGAAGAGCTTGCCACTGATTGGTGGCAAGCTAGTCAGAGTTTTTTTGATGGCACGGATGATGAGCAGCATCCACTTCCTCCAATTCGAGAGCCATCACCTCACCTAGAGCCATCACCCGATCGTGACGACTATACACCTCTAGAACGAGAGCCATCACCTATCCCGTCACATCATCGAGCCTCTTCTCCACCATCACCTCATGATAGGCGACCGGCAAAGATGCCACGACTCCTATCTCCCTGTTCTCCACCTCCACCTCAACGGGATGAGTCAAGGGAGTTACGTGATGAGGTCAATGCCTTGCGTGAGGAGATCGGTACTCTACGCGATAACGATGGTGCATGGCGTGTGGAGGTGTCAACTTTACGTGGTGAGGTTGCCGCTCTACGTGAGATGATAGTATCGTTGCAGAATGAGGTTCATACTCTACGCAACGAGGTAAGTTTAAGATTTTCCATATTTAACTTAATGATAAATTTACTCGTAATTTCACTTAGATTAGCCATTTCACTTAGATTGCTTAGTAAATTTATTCGGTTGCTGCCAATTCTGCTAAACTGTGTATTCTTTAACACTGTGAAATAGTATTTGTCTTTGTTTTGTCTTTTGGTTGAAAGTAAATTTGTTCGGTTGCTGCCAATTCTGCTAAACTGTGTATTCTTTAACACTGTGAAATATATTTGTCTTTGTTTTGTC